AAACAAGATCGATGAAAATGTCACAAGTTATCTGATAAGTAGACATCAATCTTCAACTCAATAAGAAGGTTGAAGACAAATCCACAAGTTGACGAGGTAGAAAACTTAGCATTTTATTGACTTAAAACTTGGATTTTGGATGCTTTACAACTAATGCATAAGACTTATTTATAGATGCAAACAATGAGAAGTATAATAGAAATTACTCTCCTAAAAGATCTCTAATGTTTATCTTAAGAAAATAATAAATAAGAAAATTACATACAAGAAAATAAATATTAATTAATTGAGATACGGCCGCCCTTGACTTGATCTCTTTCTTTGAGTGTTTGACATTCAATTTGAGAAGATTCTATTGATTTAAATAAGAAAATAAGGACTTGATTAGTGATGATATTCGACCACACTTTAAATAGGAGGAGATCTTATGAATCATTCCATGATCTTATGAAGAGAGTATGTGGCAAGGATTAGAACAAAGTGGACGACTTTGTTGATGTGGAATCCCAACAAGATTTTATGGAATAAAATCTTTGATTTTCACATATGCTTTACAATCGATTATGTAACGAACCCGAAAATTTAAAAAGAAATGCATATAAGAATTTGAGTGCGGAAGCGAAATAAAGGTTAAGATTAACATCCCTTACACGATAAGTCAAAAGTACTAACAAATATCACGGAACAAATTTTCTGAAAGAAATACGAAAAATGAAAAAAAATAAAGGAAACTATAAGGTATCTAGGGTCTACTCGTAGCCTTCTTACAGATTGGGCTCGGGGACCGGATCCTCCTGATCTAAAATGGTTAAATAAGGGGTGAGCTACACTAGCCCAGTAAGGACATCACAATATATCGTCATCACAGAAGTAAAAGTTGGTAGAAAATCGAAAACAACCAATAGAGCACAAATTTTAAACAAATTCATTTATCAATAATAAAACTAATTATCGTCCACTTACCGCAGTGAGATTTATAAAAACAACCTATAAAAACAATAACATTATAAATATCATGATTTCATATATAATCTGCAACATAGCACACATTATATTTTTATATTCAAATCATCAAACAACAATTGCTCTTTTTTATCAGCCTACTAGTATCCATGGGGATCCACAAGGGGTGTCCCCGCTACACGTGAACCTTTTCTGTTAATAATCTTAATTCCAGGACCGTCCCCATATCCCGTCCGGTATGAGTGCCAAGATATTAAACCTCAATACCCCGTCCGGTATGAGGGTGAAGCGGGTCGTCCCCATACCCCGTCTGATATGGGAGCCAAATGACCAAGTCACCATACCCCGTCCGGTATGAGACAACATTCACAGTAGGGTTTCCTATGAACCCGGTTCGTCCACCATCTTCTAGGATATCTAGTGAGGCTATCACTTTATCTATTTATTAGATCACATCCCTTTCTTGTTTATCATTAATCTCTGTTACCAAATTAAACATAAATACATAAACAAGTAATATGCATCTAACAATGCAATCATATTTTAAATTCTCAAAATCAAACAGTAGTCAAGTAAGACAGTAATATATGCATTTAAAACCCTAAACCAGATATCATCATGTCTTTAAACTGTAAAATAAATCAATAAAA